TCGTACACACTTTCGCAAGGACTGTCGCGAAACTTCGTTCGAATTTTCGTTTTGCAGAGCCTCTCTACTGAACCTTTCTTTAGAAACATGACGGCAACTGAAACAGCAACAGAGAAAGTACGATACATGTACAGCACATTCTTGCAGGTACTACAAACAGATTGCAGATCGTAATTCTTGCTTGGCGGCACGAAACTTTGTTTGGGGCAGTGCAATCTCGGCGGTACTAACAAATAATAAATCAAACCGCCCTGACTCGAGTAAACAAATCCAATCATACATGTACAAGATCTTCACGAGACGAGACTGCACCCATTGGCTTGTTTCGTATGAAGCAAACAAGTTACTGAACCTCTCCACAATGGAGATTTTCCCTGATATGCGAATTTATTTTGCAAACTCGGTCAATGGGTCCTTGACCCTTTCCCTCCAGATTGGGAACTGCCAACGATAGTATGCCACTGACCAGTGCCTTGCTTGTAACGTACCAATGTACAATGAATATGAGTATTTCGACAACACATCTAACATAAGCCTTACCGTCAAGAAGGTGAACTCGCGTTCTTCGCACATTGTAGACAAGGGCAAAGAGATAAAAATGGATCTAAATCCGAATAAAATCAGCACACGTTTCCGTAAATGAAAGGGTGAGCATAAGCAAATGAATCGAAGGAAACCGGTCAACTCAGAGATCACCTAGTACCTGTCATCGAGTATTCCGTAAAAGGAGGCCTCGGCAGCGGAAAAGCTAAATTTAGAAAAGAGATCCTGTCAGCTTTTCCATTATTTATTGCATTCCGCCCAAAATCAGCACACTTTTCGTAAATGAAAGAGTCAACACAAGCAAATGAATCAAAGGGAACTGGTCAACTCACCTGTCATTGAGTAATATTCCGCGAAAGGACGTCTCAGCAGCGCCAAAACGAAATAAGCCTGGCCAGGAGACGAAATATCCGAAACAGCTCATACGAGAAGCAGTTCCAAAGAAGGAAGTTCCTCGCGCATGCACATCCGAACACGGACTGCACTGCAACACAATGTCTGCCGTGCACGTGCACCGCACGCGGCTACCACCCGTTGGTAGCTCTAATACCGAGCACCTTACGTAGAGACTTACGTAGCCTAAGTGAAATACCGAGCACCTTACGTAGAAACTTACGTAGCATAGCGGTGTCGTTTTTCTTGCCATGTGAACACAATAATAGAAAAGCTGACAGGATCGCTTTTCTAAATACAGTCATGTACCTCGCTCTGCAAATCCATAACATGCTGATGGTCCCGTGACATTGATCATGCACCCTGTGTAGGGCCTAGGGCGGAACGGGCTGGGCGTTTGTTTGCTCCCTTGAATACGACGGCATGTACACCCCTTTCGATCGTGTCAACTACATGATTATGTACTTCGTAAATTATCGAAAAAACATCCACAGTCTCAAGTACTACTTGTAATACTTATCTTTTCTCCGGTCCATGTGCGTTCCGAAACCTGGCTGGCTGTCCCAGTGAACTCCGGCTGGTGTTGTCGAGAGACAGCTACGACCTCGCTACCCCTCGCTACGATATGAGACAACTACTTCAGCATGACTGCGGTGTCGCCACTGCCAGCACTTTCAGCGTGTCTCTGCCAGGAGCTTCGCCACCATTTGGGACACGATGTTGTGATCGACAGCGCTCATCACCGACTCCGTAGCCTCTCGATCTCATCACTCCGCCCACGGACAAACTCTCAAGGACTCGTTGAAATCTTTGAAGAGTAGGGTTGCGGTACAGGTAGGTGTCGACTCGACATGTCGGAGCTGAGTGACCAATTGTTTATTCAACTAAATTTTACTTTCACAATCTTTGCTGGTCGTCCGAAACGCAATGATTTGTGTAGCTGTCAACGGTGCACCGGTGACTCTGCTCCGCCTTGTACGAAACTTGCTGGTGTGTGGCGGATTACGCTCAGGTCGTTTAGCTGTTTCCGCCTTTCGCAAATCGATCAGTAGCTCCCAAAAACTTCAGTTTGCAGGGCTAATCAGGCGATGCGGACGTTTCGTAGGCTGGACCGATTAATGATAGACGGTGCACGGCACTGTCGTTTCTTTCTCTACTAGGACTAGTACACTGTAGATCTACATGTACTATAAAAATACGATGAGTTGTGATTTTGTGTGGCTGCGAGTGGAAACTAAAAACTGGATAACTTGAAAACTTCAACTATCACGAGGAAAAACAAGTATCACGATGGCAGGTTCAACGGAGTTGCGCAGAACAAGAGCAAACGCATGAAAATATTTGCGAGTGAAAAATGCGTTTTTTGCACTCTTTCACTACGCTCAGCCGTGAAAAAACAAAAAATATTCCGAGACAAGAAGAGGATCTATCACTCAATCAAAATTCACATTTTCATCATGCAAAAGGTATATTGCTGCCTAGACGTTGCGGAGGGATTGAGCTTTCCTGCGCAGGTATGAGTTTGGAGGTACATTGTATTTCAGCATCGTGGAGTGGACAAATTTAAAATCAAGAAAAACCAATAATGATGGGGGACATGTCCTCGTTGGTAGATTTGGTGTTCTACTATCTGCTCAAGACGACGTAGCTCTCTATTTTGTCAGCTTTTGTAATTTGGCTATTTTCAAGACGATAATTTGTGGCCTCAGGGGGTGATGGCACTTATCTTCTGGGATGCTTGCGTGACTAAGCGGAGCTGCCTCATTCATGCACTTTTCTAAAGTGACACAATGTTGGCTTGATGGAGCTTTATTCGTTGGTTGGTCGTAAGCGCTGCGGCATGGCTCGTTTGCAAACCCAAAAATCAGATCACATTGACCATTGTTGAGGGGTATGCCATTTTCAAAGTTCCCTACAGACAATTTTCCAAGGCAATTTTGCGCCAAGGAAACGTGCCTGCAAAATTTTAGCTAAATCGGAGAAGTCGACTTGCACATAATGTCTGGTCTTCTCAGACATGCTCCCTTAAAGGTCAAGAATGCCTTCGCACATATCTACGATGTAAAAAAAATGCACGGTCTCAGATCAAAGGTTATGGTAGAATAATGCTATTAACTTCTGACATAATACATGAGAACGAGACCATGGAATAGAACACAAACACTACATAATTCACATCAGATTGCGTGTGTGGCTAGAACCAGACTTGTGTGAATAGCATCAAAGAGTGATTTCTTTTTTTAAATGCTGCGAATGTGTTCTATCTTTAAAACAGACACACACACGCTGTTTCTCTCTTGATCTTACAATTCCTAAGCGCGAAGAGGAGAAAAGCATTTTCACCCATACAAAACACTATCTAACGACTTTTAGGCTATTCATTGTAGGTTATAAATACACTGGTGTCTAGGATAAAATGATGATGTTCTGAAGAACTTTGCGCACTCTCTGCACCTATAATTAAGGACGTGCTCCTGTATGGATACGTTCATGTTTGCCTAAATTGGACGAATCCGTGAACGACGCACCACATGTCTTACACTTGTGCGGTCTCTCTCCAGTATGAGTACGTTTATGAACACATAGACTGCCTGACTGAGTGAAAGACTTCCCGCATACATCACACTTGAATGGTCGATCTCCAGTATGAGTACGTTTATGAGCACAGAGATGGCTTGACTGAGTGAAAGACTTCCCGCATACATCACACTTGAATGGTCGATCTCCAGTATGAACACGTTCATGCTCGCGGAGGCGAGAAAAGTACTTGAACACTTTTGGGCAAAACTGACATCTCTGTGCTGTCTTCCACTTAGAATGCTGGCACGGATCCTGATTCTGAGCCATAACCTTAGACGATTCAGAATGTTGTCCGATAGGACGCCTTTGGTCAACTGGCATGCCAAACGCATCAGGTTGCTCCCACTTGTCCGGTGTCCTTCCAGCAGAAACTCCAGTATTTGACGCTGTGGCTGGAGTTGAAACGTCCATTTCAATTTGAAGAGGTGGTCTCACAGGCGATGCACACTTCTCAGACCCGCTGAACGTTGAAGTCCAGTTCACCACGTCTTCCATTTCAGCCAATGGACTAGACGTTACTTCATCCCTTTCGCTTTTGTCGGCGGTTAGAATGGTCTGTTCGAAAGCTGGCTGACGATTAGAAATACTGGCTGAAGGAATTGTGTTCCTCGTCCATTTTATCAATGGCGGATGAGGAAGAGGAATTATGCTACTGGTATACTCAGGGGGTATATTACTGGTGCCTTCTCTGTTTTCCAGTGAAGCGGATCTCATACACGGCGCTTTCTTAGTGTTTGCTCCGCCAATGTTTGACCATGAAGATGGTGGAACGGACGATGGACCAGGCTCTCTAGACGTTTGGTCGAGCTTATTCCTCTTCGACTTCATCAACGGCGGCATTGATGGTAGTCCATAGGAATCCTGACTACAATCAGACTTCAAGTCCGCAAAGCCTTCCATTTCTAACTCAACTGCAGGAACTGCGGAGGGGAAATTGCATAACACAACCAATATTATTCGTAACCACTTCGAGCAGTGAACAAAACTACGGATTCAAAATTTTTCGCTCTGTGCACTCTATTATCGTGTTCTAGTTTGTCACAAGCCATAATAGTTGATACAAATGGGTTTGCCATAAATATGGCAGCCCGCAATGCGTGACAATTTTACGTATGTTGTCAAATTCAAGTACATGGCACCTTGCTGTCACGATCTCAAGCTGTCGTGGACCTTTGCATCAATTGTCGCACAAAAAGATGTTAGGTCCCAAATGAGAATCTTGTCGTTTATGTGACAAATGATCAATCCTGCATATTTTTGTCAGTCTCAACAGTATAATTTGTCCTCCAGCGTTCAACTGCTATTCTGACGCTAGTATAGGATCAATCACTCGAAATTCACTGTTTCAGTATAAAGAGTAAAAACTGATACTCCAAGGCCAACGTAATCAGGTTTGGAAGCCGTTGTAAGTATGTCCTGTTGTAGTACGCATGTTATCGTCATCATCATCATTACCTGATCTCGATCTAGTTAGGGTAGTAACTTCACTTCAGAGTTTCTGCATCAATCATTGGCGACTGACTTTGTAGGCTGTCCGTGGTGAAGAAGATTTCAAACTTCTGAAAGTTGTCATTCCTGTGCAGGCTGTTTAACAAGGGGTCACACCTCATCCTTACACGCTTAGTCATACTCACGTATCTGACTCATACTATCAGTATCTCACCTTGTGTACTCACCTGCATCCTTTAGCATGGGTATGTTGCTAATAGACAGCTTCTTACCTTCCGTGACGTCTCACTGGTTACAGGCTGGTACTAGATGTCGATGAAGATATTATCATGGTTAGGACGTAGCTCTCTATTTTGTCCGCCCTTGTAATCTGGCTATTTTCAAGACCATCATTTGTGGTCCCACCGTTCGGGAGTAATGACCCTCATCATCTGGGATGCTTGCGTTGCTAAGCGGAGCTGCAACAGTCACGTTTCTAAAGTGAGACAATCAGTTGGCTTGTTTGTTGTTGTTGTTGTTGTTGTTTGGCTTTATTTAAAGTGGAGATCCAAAACAGGCCTAAACCTAATGACAATGGTCCCACTGATAATAAGAGAAAAGAAAATATAATAATAAGCGGACAAACAGAACCAAGAAGAAGATACAGCTGTAGTTAGATAACTAATATGAGCACGGCAGCAGGGGAAAAAAGTCACAAGCACGGCAACCGGGAAGAAAGGAGTGAGTGAGTGAGAGAGAGAGAGAGAGAGAGAGAGAGAGAGAGAGGTAGTGAAGCAGATGAGTTCATCCTAGTTGACGGTACTGCCTAACAGAAAGGCCAGGCTTAGCGATTTGAAAGTGGAGCGCTTTCTTTCGAGGCGTGCTGTGTCTGGGAGCTGGTTCCACAGGATAGCTCCAGCATGGCTAATGCGCTTAGCTTGCAGCTTGATTCGTTAGATGGTCGTAAACGCTGCGGCTGGGCTGGTTTGCAGACCCATAATAATGTGATGTTTTGACCATTTTTGAGGGTATGCCAATTCCCTTCAGACAACATGCCAAGGCGGCTTTGATCAGTCGATATACACCCAAGGAGACGTGCCTGCAAACTTTGAGCGAAATCAGAGAGATCCACTTGCACTTGTCTACAAGCTGTGGTCTTCTCAGACCTGCTCAGTGAACAAAGCCTTCGCTCAGATCTTCGATCTAACTTAAGTAAAATCTTCTCAGATCAAAGGTTATGCCAGAACAACACTATTAATGTTAACTTCAGATAATAATACATGAGCACGAGACCATGGAATAGAACATAAATACAAAATAAAATTGTCCACATCAGATTGCGATTCTAGACTATCATAGTCTATCACGCGTATGGCTACGATCATACTCGTATGAATAGCATCAAAGAGTGGAATATTTTTAAACTGCTGCGAATGTAAACTATCTTTATAACAGACACACAGATACACACACACACACTCTCTCTCTCTCTTGTTCGTAAAATTCATGAGCACGAAGAGAGGAAAGGCATTTTTCAAACAAAGTTAAACACTTTTTAACTACGTTTAGGCTGTTCATTTTATGATATGAATACACTAGGATCTAAGAAGACATCATGATGTTCTGAAGACTTTTGGGCACTCTCTGCTACTATATAGACTTTCTCCTGTATGTATACGTTCATTGTTTTGTGGCTGAGATGACTGTGTCGATGACCTTATACAGGTCATGCACGTAAACGCCTTTCTCCAGAATGGATACGTTCATGTGCGCGTAAATGGGACGATTGTGTGAACGATGAGCCACATGTTTTACACTTGTGCGGTCTCTCTCCCGTATGAGTACGTTTATGAACACAAAGAGTTCCTGAGACCAACGCATATGGCCGATTGGTTTGCAGGCCTGCCTGCGAATCATAAGGTCCCGAGTTCGAGACCCGCGCTGGTAGCAGGGAGCGTGTAAAGACTTTTTACGTGAGTGACGACTTTTTATGCGCGGTGAACTGCGCCGACACCTACGGTCAACTGGGTACTCACAGCTCGGAGTGAGGGTAACAAGGATGCAGTTTACAGGGTTATGGGCCGTTACACGCCCGATTGGTTGAGAGACTCACCTACTCTCCCCTGACTCACTTGTGAGGTCTGCATTTGCCACTAAGGTGTACAAGGTATAGGCATAGTGGTGGCCTGCGGAAGCGAAGGCTAGTTTGCGTGTTTCTGAACATTCAAGCTATGCCAACGCGAATCCCGCGAATTATTATTATTATTAAGATTTCCTGACTGAGAGAACGACATCCCGCATACATCACACTTGAATGGTCGATCTCCCGTATGAACACGTTCATGCTGTTCATGCTGCCGGAGGCGAGAAACATAATTGAACTCTTTTCGGCAAAACTGACATCTCTGTGATATTTTACACTTAGAACGCTTTTGCGGATCCTGACTCTGAGCCATAACCTTAGAAGAGAGAGGATTTTGTTCGATAGGACGCCTGCGTTCAACCGGCATGGCAAGCGCTTCAGGTTGCTCCCATGTTTCACGTGTCTTTCCAGCATAAACTCCAGTATGTGAGGCTTTGACAGGAGTTAAAACGTCCATTCCCCACTTAGGAGATGGTTTCACAAGCGATACACGTTTATCATAGTCGCTGAACGCAGAAGTCCGTTTGGACCGTTTCTCGACGGCTTCCATTTCAGGCGGTGTACTGGACGTTGCTGTATCCCTTTCGCTTTTGTGGCCAGTTCGAAATGTCTGTTCGAAAGCTGGCTGACGATTAGAAATACTGGCTGAGGGAATTGTGTTCCTCGTCCATTTTGTCAATGGCGGAGGAGAAATAGGAATTGTGCTACTGGTATACTCAGGGCGTATACTACTCGTGTCTTCTTTGTTTTCCAGTGGAGCGGATCTCATACACGACGCTTTCTCTATGTTTTCTTCCACACAGTTTGAGGCAGGAGATGGTGAAACAGACGATGGATCATACTCTCTAGAACTTGGGTCAACCATATTCCTCTTTGACTTAATCAATGCCGGCCGCGAACGATCTGAAATAATAAAAACCAAACCAACCAACCAAACCGGCATTGGGGGTAGTTCATTTGAATCCACACTGCCGTCCGACTCCTGCAAGTCTTCCATTTCTCACAAAACTGCAACAACTCTGGAAGAGAAATTGCATAAACGAGCCAATATTACTCGAAGGCACTTCACGCAGTGAATTGAAAATTACGGATGCAGAATGGTTTGCTCTGTGTGCTTTAATATCGTGTTCTGGTGTGAAAAGCCTTTTTTGTTGATAACAATAACAAAATGGGATTGCCATAATTATGGCAGCCAGCAATTCGTGACAATTTTACTGTATATTCTCCACTTCAAGTACATAGCAACTTGCCGTCACCATCTCAAGCTGTCATGGACCTTTGCTGCAACAACTGTCGCACAAAAGGATGTTAGTTGCCAGGGGATAATCTTGTCGTTTTAAGTGATAAATGATCACTCCTACTGTTCTTTATCAGTGTGAACACTACATGTTGTTCTTCAGCGCTGAACTGCCATTCTGACACGAGGAGAAGATCTATCACTCACCAAAAATTTACTTTTCAGAATGCAAAAGGTCTATTGCTGACTCGACGTTGCGGAGGGGTGAGATTTCCTGCACAGGTGTGAGTTTGGATGTACATTGTATTTCAGCTTGGTGGAGTGGAAAAATTCAAATTGTTTTTCAAGAAAACGAAAAAAGGAGGATGGGCTACATGTCCTCAGTGCTAGAAGACGTGTTCTGCTATCTTGTTGTTTTGTTGTTGTTTGTTTATTTAGAGTCGAAGTCCATACAGGCAAAATTTGCCTAATAGCATGATATCGACTAAAAAGGAGAATAAAGTATTAAAGACTATCTGCCAATGTATAGTTCTTGCTAAATGAGAACGTAGCTCTCTATTTTGTCTGCCCTTGTAAATTGGCTCTTTTGAAGATGATCATTCGTGGCCTCAGGGTGTGATGGCCCTCATCTTCTGCGACTTGCGTGGCTAAGCGGAGCTGCCCCAGTCATGCACTTTTCTAAAGTGAGACAATGTTGGCTTGATGGAGTTTTATTCGTAGCTTGGTCGTATACGCTATGGCATGTCTCGTTTGCAGACCCATAAAGCATGTGATGTTTTGAGCAATGTTTAGGGATATGTCAATTTCAAGGTTCCCTTCAGACACCTTTTCAAGGGATTTGAACAGTCGATCTACCCCCCCCCCCTTTTCCCAAGGAAACGTACCTGTCAAATTTGAGGGAAATCAGAGAGATCCACTTGCACACATTGTCTGGTCGTCGAATATATGGTCTCCTAATAGTCAACAAACGCTTCGCACAAATCTACGATCTGGGTTAATTAAACTTTCTCAGATCTATGGTTATGCTAGAATATGATTATTAACTTCTGACATAATATATGAGAACGAGACGTAATAGAACACAAATACAGAACTACATAATCCACATCAGATTGCGATTCTGTACACTCATACTTTATCGCGTGTGTGGCTAGGACCAGACTCTAGTGGTTAGCATCAAAGAGTAATTTCTTTTTTTGAATGCTGCGAATGTATACTATCTTTAAAACACACACACACACACTCTTTCTCTCTTGATCTTACAATTCATAAGCCCGAAGAGAAGATAGGCATTTTCACCCATACAAAACACTATCTAACGACTTTTAGGCTATTCATTGTAGGTAATAAATACACTGGTGTCTAGGATAACATGATGATGTTCTGAAGAACTTTGCACACTCTCTGCACCTAAATTGACGTTCTCCTGTATGTATACGTTCATGGTCTTTTAGTTGGGATGACTGTGGATACGTTCATGTCTGCGTAAATCAGACGAATTCGTGAACGATTTGCCACATTTCTTACACTTGTGCGGTCTTTCTCCAGTATGAGTACGTTTATGACGATGTAGACTGCCTGAATGAGTGAAAGTCCTCCCGCATACATCACACGTGAATGGTCGATCTCCAGTATGGCTACGTTCATGCTCGCGGCGTCGAGAAACGTGCTTGAACTCTTTTTGGCAAAACTGACACCTATGTAATGTCTTACACTTAGAACGCTTGGACTGATCCTGTTTCTGATCCATAACATTAGGAGGGTCAGAATTTTGTCGGATAGGACGCCTGCTTCCAACCGGCATGTCTAACGCATCAGGTTGCTCCGATGTTTCACGCAGACTTCCAACAGAAACTCCGGTATTTGACGCTATGGCTGGAGTTAAGGAGTCCTTTTCAATCTGAGGAGGAGGTTTTACAATCGGTGCAGGCTCACTATACACGCTGAATACAGAAGTCCGATTCTCAAAGTCTTCCAATTCAGGCGGCATACTAGTCGTTGATTCATCATTTTCGCTTTCGTCGGCTGATCGAAATGTCTGTTTGAAAGCTGGCTGACGGTTAGAAATGCTGCCTGAATGAATTGTGTTCCTCGTCCATTTTATCAATGGCGGAGGAGAAACAGGAATTAGGGTACTGGTATACTCAGGGGGTATGGTACTCGTGTCCTCTCTGTTTTCCAGTAAAGCGGATCTCATACATGACGCTTTCTCCATGTTTCCATCTAAAAGGTTAGACGCAGGAGATGGTGGAACACACGATGGACCATGCTTTATAGAAGTTTGTTTGAGCTTCTTCCACTTCGACTTCATCAATGGCGGCATTGGTGGTAGTTCATTAGAATCCAGACTACCGTCAGACATCGAGTCCTCAGTATTTTCCATTTCTCGCTGACCTGCAACAACTCTAGAAGGGAAATTGCATAAAAGAACCAAAATTACTCGTACCCACTTTGCACATTGAACAAAACTAAGGATACAGAATGGTCAAAATCTTTGTGCATTAATATCGTATTCTAGTGTGTGAAAAACCATAATATTATTAGTTGTTAACAATGGATTTGCTATATTTGTGGCAGCCTGCAATACGTGCCAAGTAAACGCACGTTCTCAACATCAAGTACATTACAACTTGCTGCTATCACCTCCAGCTGTCATGGAATTGTGCATCAATTGTGGCACATAAAGACATTAGTTGCTAAAGGAGGATCGTGTAGTTTTTTTTAAGAGAAAAACAGAACATATGTGCAAGTCGATCTCTCAGATTTCGCTCAAATTTTGCAGGTAGGTTTGCTTTGGGGTGTAGATCGACATTCCAAAGCCCGCGCAAAATCTTCTGAAGGGAACCATGAAATTGGCATACCCCTCAATATTGGCCCAATGTTGGCACGATTTATGGGTCTACAAACGAGCCACGGCACAGCGCACAAGAACAAGCTACGAACAAAACTCCATCAAGCCAACATTACCTCACCTTAAAAGAGTTCTTGGGGCAGAACCACTTAGCCACGCCAGCATCCCATAAGACGAGGGCAATCATCCCATGACGCCACAAATGATCTTCTTGAAAATAGCCAAATTGCAAGCGCTGCTAAAACAGCGGGCTACGTCCTCAATTAGCAAACACTATACACCGGCAGATAGTAGAACACCTCTTCTAGCACTGAGGACATGTCCCCCATCATCCTTTTTGGGTTTTCTTGAAATAAACAATTTTGATTTTTTCCACTTGCCCATTCTGAAATACGTCCGAACTCATACCTGCACAGGAAAGCCCGCCCCTCCGCGATGTCTAGTCAGCAATTTCTACTCCAACATCACTCCCAACGCTGCAGAACAAAGTGTATTTTTGACTCTGACAAGGAAAAGCAGCAGTGATCACTTGTCACTCCAAACGACAAGCTTTTCCTTGCACCACCAACATTTTTCGGTGCAACAGTTGATGCAAAGGTGACCGAATATTTGCGTGTAGTTTTTGGATTTTACTGCAAGAGGGATGATGAAATCGCGTGCCTCGTGACACAAGAATGCTAGGTCTCGTAGATAACGGTTCAGCAGTTTTCCTAGTCACCTTGATCAAGCGCACCTGCACTTACACGGATCACCCGTTGATCTAGATTGGATCAAGTGCATCTTGATGTCCAGCTCAAGAGCACGCATGTCGTGTTGTAGGCCTACCAGCCGGGACTTTCCCTAAACATGCCGCACAGAGACTAGGGCGAGTAGGGTCAAATCACGTTGTTCATGACGTAAGAAATCTGCCATGTTGGCGCGCCACATACTACATTGTAGTACTTCGTAGTACCCACGTGGCCTGGTCACGTACAGACTCTAGATCTACAGAGTGGACGATGTCGGCAGCGGACTGGGGCACACTGGCAGTGACACCACGAGGAGCTGGGAATCCAGAGGATGTGGATGACAATGACGCAGCTGGTACGTGGTTTCCCGCCTGTGAGTACAATGCAGATTGCTGTTGGGGATGAGCGACTGGTACTGGTACATGGTTTCCCGCCTGTGAGTGCGCAGATTGTTGTTGGGGATAAGCGGGATTGGCTGGTACGGTGGTGTACGTCGTACGTGATCCTCGGGCAAATTTGTCCTCCAAAGCAAGGACCTTCTTCTCCACGGCTTCAATGGCGGTATTCTTTGCTGTCGTCTGACTAACCACCGCTACTTTCAACTCCTCTACCTGGTTTGTCAGTAGCTTCTCCGTGTCCACAAGAATTGTTAAACGCGAAAGAGTACTGACAGGCTCGTGCGGGTCGCCAGATGCGGTCCCAGTCCCACTCGTGGCTGATAATCGACAATTTAATTCCAGCACAATTTCGGATCTACTCTGCCCGACCCACTGCAGATCGTTTCGCCGGGCCAGCTCCTTTAGGTCCTCATTCGTAAGAGAGCGCATATCTACTTGCTCCGAAGCCATTGGAAGGCTTCCGAAAAAACAGAGGAAGAGCCCCAGAATCCTTAACCTACTGTCAGAATTCAAATATCCTATTTCTTGCTAAGTGAGGACGTTTCTGTCTATTTTGTCTCCCCTTGTAATTTGGCTATTTTCAGGACGATCATTTGTTCCGTCAGGGGATGATGGCCCTCATCTCTCTGATATGCTGGCGTGGCTAAGCGGTGCTGCCGCAGGAACTCTTCTATGATCAGGCAATTATGGCTTGATGGAGCTATATTTGTAGCCTGGTTTATCCACTGTGGCAAGTCTCGTTTGCAGACCCATTAATCATGTGATGTTTTGACCATTTTTGAGGGGTATGCTAATTTCAAAGTTACCTTCAATTAACTTTTCAAGGGCTTTGCACAGTCGATCTACACACCAAAGAAACGTGCCTGCAAAGTTTGAGCGAAATCGAAGAGATCCACTTGCACATATTGTCTACAAGTCTTCTCAGACATGTTCATTCAACAAAGCGTTCGCTCATATCTTCTTTCTATATAAAGTAAAACTTTCTGATTTCAAAGACTATACCAGAAAACTACTATTACCATCTGACATAATACATGAAAACGAGACCATGGCATAGAACACAAATACCGAACTACATAATGCACATCAGCTTGCGATTCTAGACTATCATAGGCTATATCGTGTATGGTTACATTCAGATTTGTGTAAATAGCATCAAAGAGTGGATTTTTTTAACTGCTTCGAATGTACACTATCGTTCTAACAGACAAACACTTTCTCTCTATCTCTCTCTTGTTCGTACAATTCATGAGCACGAAGAGGAGAAATGCCTTTTTACACATAGTGAAACACTTTCAAGCAACATTTAGGCTTTTCAGTTTCGGTTATGAATACGCTCGTGTCTACGAAGACATGATGATGTTCTGAAGACCTTTGAGCACTCTCTGCACCTATAAGGACGTTCTCCTGTATGTATACGTTCATGGTTCCGGAGATGGGATGACTGTGTGAAAGACCTTACACATGTCTTGCAAGTGAAAGGTCTTTCTCCAGAATGAATACGTTCATGCCTGCGTAAAGCGGTTGAATGCGTGAACGATGTGCCACATGTCTTACACTTGTGCGGTCTCTCTCCGGTATGAGTACGTTTATGAACACATAGAGTGCACGAGTGAGAGAAAGACATCCCGCATACATCACACTTGAATGGTCGATCTCCAGTGTGAATACGTTCATGCACGCGGAGGCGAGAAGCGTACTTGAACTCTTTTTGGCAAACCTGACACCTCTGTAATGTCTTACACTTAGAACGCTTGTACGGATCCTGATTCTTAGCCACAACCGTAGAAGAGTAAGAATGTTGTCCGATAGGACGTCTTCGTTCCACTGACATGCCAAACGCATCAGCTTGCTCCCACAGGTCAGGTGTCCGTCCACCAAAAACTCCAGTATTTGACGCTGTGGCTGGAGTTAAGCCATCCATTTCAAACTGAAGAGGTAGCTTCACAGGCGATGCATGTTTCTCATACCCGCTGAACGTTGAAGTCCGGTTCACCACGTCTTCCATTTCAGACTGTGTACTAGACGTTGCTTCATCCCTTTGGCTTTTGTCGGCGGTTTGAAATGCCTGTTCGAAAGCTGGCTGACGATTAGAAATACTGGCTGAAGGAATTGTCCATTTTATCAATGGCTGAGGAGACACAGGAATTGTGCTACTGGTATACTCAGAGGGTATACTGCTCGTGTCTTCTCTGTTTTCCAGTGAAGCGGATCTCATACACAACGATTTCTCCATGTTTTCTTCTAAAAGGTTTGACGCAGGAGATGGTGGAACGGACGATGGACCATGCTCTCTGAACGTTCGGTTGAGCTTAGTCCTCTTCGACTTTATCAATGGCGGCATTGGTGGTAGATCATTAGAATCCACACTGCAGTCAGACATCGACTCCTCCAAGCATTCCATTTCTCACTGATCTACCACTCTGGAAGGGAAACTGCATACCCGAGGCAATATTACTCGTCGCCACCTCACGCAGTGAAATGAAAATTACTGATGCAGAATGGTTTGCTCTGTTCAATTTAATATTCTGCTCTAGTGTGAAAAGCAATATTAGTTGATGACAATAACAATGTGTTTGCCATAATTCTGGCAGTCCGCAATGCGTGACAATTATAAGTATGCTCGCAAAATCAAATACATGGCAACTTGATGGCACCATCTCAAGATGTCTTGGACGTTTACATTAATTGTGGCACAAAAATATGTTAGTTACTATGGGAGAATCTTGTCATTTTAAGTGATAAATGATCACTCCTACTGTTCTTTGTCAGTGTCAACACCACACGTTGTTCTCCAGTGCTGAACTGCCATTCTGAAACAAGTAAAGTAAAGTAAAGGATGTATCACTTCCCAAAAAATTACATTTCAGAATGCAAAAGGTCTATCGCCGACTAGACGTAGCGGAAGGGTGAGCTTTCCTGCACAGGTGTGAGTTTGGATCTACATTGTATTTCAGGTGGTGGATTGGAAAAAATCATAATGAGTTTTTAAGAAACCGCAAGAGGAAGATGGGGTACATGTGCTCAGTGCTAGAAGGGGTGTTCTACTATCTTGTTGTTTTGTTGTTTGTATTTTTAAAGTCGAAGACCATACAGGCAAAATTTGCCTAAGTCCATGATATCGACTAGAAAGGAGAAAAAAGTATAAAAGACTATCTGCCAATGAATAATAATAATAATAAAACAGCACGCATAAAGCTCATATGAAAAATCAAATGAGGGTCATGCATCTGTCAACAACGTCGAGCCAGTGCGTTCTGTCTGTTGCAAGTTGCTCCGCTTCCAAAAGAGACATATTGAGAAGTAAAAGGTCATTCCTAATGTTGTCTACCCATCTGGTCACTGGGCGACCTCTGGGCTTCATTATATCTGTTATATTCATTGCCAGGTGAAGGGCTTTGTTTTTTGTTTTGTTTTTTTTTGGTGGTGAGGAAAATGTTATCAACTCCAAAGCACGAAAAAGGCCAAAAACTAAACCAAGAACATATGCAATAACATGTTATTTATAAAGACAGGACAAGTGAATAATTAGTCAGTCCATTGTTCCTGATGACCTCCGACGGTTACGTCGGCAAGCGAGCCTCCGCCACTGCCAAAGCAGCGTGGGCTCCGCAGGAGGGTGCAAATTTCAAACCAAAATTTAAACGCCTACAACCGCGAATGCACATGATACAGGATATACAGGATGATACAGGATGAAGGGCTTTGTAGGACACAGCGTCCTTCCCTTCACGTATGACATGTCCAAACCATAATAAGCGCTGGCGTTTACAGACTGCACTTATTGGGCATTGAGCAGTTTTAGCATAAAGAGCATTATTCGAAATTTTATTGGGAAAGATGATTCCAAGTATGTATGTGAGTTTGAAATGAATAATTCTTGCTAAATGAGGACGTAGCTCTCCATTTACTTTGCCCTTGGAATTTGGCTCTTTTGAAGAGCATCATTTGTGGCCTCATGGTGTGATGGTCCTCCTCTTCTAGGTTGCTTTGGATGGCTAAGCGGAGCTGCACCAGTCATGCACTTTTCTAAAGTGACAAAATGTTGGCTTGTTGGAGTATAACTCTTAGCTTGGTCGTATACGCTGTTGCATGTCTCGTTTGCGGACCCATAAATCATGTGATGTTTTGACCAATGTTTAGGGGTATGTATATTTCACGGTTCCCTTCGGACACCTTTTCAAGGGATTTGAACAGTCGATTATGGCAGCTTGCAATACGTGACAATTACACGTATCTTCTCAACATCAAGAACATAGCAACTTGCTGTCACCATCTCAAGCTGTCAAGAAATTTTGCATTAATTGTCGCACAAACAGATGTCAGTTGCAAAAGTAGAATCTCGTCGTTTTAGTGATTGATGATAAGTCATACCTTTGAGCAACAGCAGTGAAATTTACAAGTGTGAATTTTATCAATCAAAGCGAGAAATGAACAAAGGAGAAAGGAAGGAAGGACAACGTGATAACTTATAAAAGCAATACATTACACCTAGAACATTAACGGCCAAGCTTGGTTGCACTAAACACGACACGTTACTTGAACAATTTCAAACCAATTATACTATCTTTCTGTACACACAAATTAGGCTATACAGACGCTAATAGATAGCTTCCAACACTTTTAACTGTAGTCCATAACCATGACGACCACGGCACAATACAGTGAACACAGAGTCGGAATACGATTTGCAACAATCAGGACTAGCTAGCAGATGATTGTACACTGACAGATAGTATAATTGGGTTGAACTTGTTCAAGCAACGTGTCGTGTTTAGTGCGGCCAGGCTTGGCCGTTAATGTTCTAGGTGTAATGTACTGCTGTTATTTGTTATCACGTTGTCCTTCCTTCCTTTCTCCTTTGTTCATTTCTCGCTTTGATTGTTAAAATTCACACTTGTAAATTTCACTGCTGTTGCTCTTAGTGTTATTTCTCTAATTTAGATTTTCTATAATAGTTCAATTTTAGTCATGCCTTTCTTTGTCATTGTCAACACTACACTTTGTTCTTCAGAGGTGAACTGACATTCTGACACAAGTAAAGGATCGATCACTCACTCAAAATTTACCTTTTCAGAATAAATAGTAAGTACGGTTAACAGCCCGAGTACAAGCGAGTACAAGGGCAATACCGGCTGATACATGACCGAACGGCGCCAGCCGTGACGTCATGTATCAAGCCGGTATTGCCCGTGGACGAGCGCGTACGAGGTGCTGTAAATCATTTATTGCATGCTTCAATTGTTTGTAACCCTACATTCCATGAACAGCAGAAGAAGGCATTTTCAAGTTCAGTTGACTGTGCATGCGGAGGTACACGTACACGTGTTTGTGGTTTTGAAAATTGGTTTATTTCTTTACAACAACAAGGGCAGGTAGTCATATTGGGATGGTTTAAGACCATGGTTGAGAAACAGAGGGTACCAGGCTCAAGTCCTGCTTGGAAGCGGGAGGAAATTTTCCAGCCGTGCTGCGACCTTTTGCTGTTTTCTCATTTTCGCAAGTGAAGCTTTATCGAGCCACACTTTTTATTCTATCGCCATCATAATATTGGGCATCAATGCCCGTTTGGTTTGCGATGTAAAATAAAACTAAAAAAAAACCACATTTATTTGGAGAACTCGTGACTTGGCACGAGGGTAACATGGATGCAGCTAATGGGATTTCGGTCTTTGACCACTTCGTGGTGGGTCTGATCTACTCACCTCCCACCGTTTAGGCGCTGCATCGGCGCCTTTGATCCTAGAGGGTGGTGGCGTTCCCACGACGGATGCGGAAAACTGGGCTTCCAGCCGTGTCTCACGCGAACCGTGAAATTTTTTATTATTATTTTTATTTACAACATTGATAGTGATGTGATTCGTGATTGTACACGAAGAATAGGAACACGCCTTGCGCCTTGCTGGGTCTCCAGTTTGTTGAGCTCTTCGGCGGGGCAGCTGCGGATCAGGGCATCGATGTCCAGGCACTCATCAGGTTGGACGGCTTGGGCCACGACAGGTTCAGAATACATCGGCGGCTGGAACAACAGGTCCAGGTCGATTCCAGGAAGCTCAGGATGTAAGTCGGTCGTGCTTGCACTGCTTGGGCTGTCGAGCAATGAGCTTGTCACATTCAGATGGCCTGTTGTAATGGTTTAGTGACTGCTGGACCTTGTGTCCCGATACACCCATTATCGTTGAAGGGGACACACTCTGACGGCACATTTAAGTGATCGTGGTTGCTCTTACTGAGTGATTGGTGTATCGTTGATACAATGAACACTTCACAGACAATATTCTCATGAGACCACCGAGCGTATTATTGCCAACAGGCTTGCCATTGTACCAGATCTGTGCTTCAGTTGTAGCTTTTTTCATGACTTGTTGAAACAGCCTTGTCCTGCCAGATGACGAGGTTGGCAGCCTGCTCACCAGCAGTTTAAATGCCTCGACGTGAGCAGGATTTACAATGCGCCCATCAGACACACTGTCAGATGTGCCGATCGAACCTTGATGGTTCTTAGACTTCATGGAAGTTGTCATCTTGATGTACTCTCCAAATTCTGTGTCGTGGCAAACTTCAAAATCCTCCGCACACATGTCAGACTGAAACTCTCGACCACGTAAACAAAACTGTTTGGTGATTGGAAACCACACCATCTCCGCCAGTGCGATAAGGTCGGTCTCGTAGTTTGCGAGGAAATAGGAATTTAATTTTGCCTGATCCTCATGACAAATGGCATCTTTATGGTTGACTTCCTTGAGGTTGCGAACCTGTTTCATCTTCTTGATAAGCCATTTAGAGCAATATTTGCTGGCTGGAACTATTTGTCCGTCATGACGTTGATTGTGCGTTGATGTTCTGTTAGCTGACGTTGAATTGCGGCACGAAATGAAATCAGGCTCGCTTTGCTATACAATTTTTTCCAATTTTCTTTCGAATCCCGACGTATGCGTGCTTCAAAACGCCTGCAAGGTTCGATGCTGATACCGTTGCCAGATCACAGGAGATCTTTCGACTTCGACAATACTCGTCAAGGACGACGAGCTATTTCTTGGTGGTGGCGGACGTGTTCCGGTTTTGGGTATCGGAGATCATTTTTTCAATCTCTTCATCAGTGATCTCCTCGAACCGACAGGCCTCAACGCTCTTCACTGACTTCACCATTTGAGCTACTACTACTTCTACCAGTGTGGGCATCTTTCGACAAATTTGGAGCTTGTTCGTTTGGTAAGTTCTCCTTTTCCATATTTGCATCAGTATCACCACGTATCAAAACTGTAACCTAAACAAGGTAAGTGGATTTGGCATACTGTGAATGCGCATGCGTGAGCGAGCAGATTCAGCAGGCAATAAACCAGTCAATACGCAGAATTCCTGCCCGCAGCTGTGCGGGCAATATCAAGAAATACGGACCGCTTGCGAAGGGCGCTGATTGGCCGTAGTACGGACAACCCTCACGTGCCATGCAATAAA